TTTTGAAATGACCTATAATGTATTGGTCCATATCTCTCAAATGAAGCATATTTTGGACTTGAGCTTAGAGAGACAAAGTTGTAGATAATTTAATTTTCTTCAAAATGAGATTTGGTTGGGGGAAAACTGATGAAGTATGTGAAAGTTATGCTTGGTCAAAGTTTAGTTGACTTCTCCTAAGGGAAACCCTAATTTAACAACTTTTGACTTTTTATGATTTGAGAGTTTTCCTTGATGAATCATGATCAATACTTGATCAATTGATGAATGTGAGTTCAAAATTTTAATGTTGAAAAAAAATCTTGAAGTTTGAATGTATGTTGACCATAATTGACCTTTTGTCCAATACAATTGATTTTCAGTCATCTGAGCTATTGACTGAGCAAACTTGTGATGCAAGGCATGAAACTTGGTATGAGCATTCTTGGAGACCTATAAGAGACCATGAATTCCATTTGAAATTTTAGAAACTCAAATTTCCTTGTGAAAGATGAAACCCTAGTTGTGGGTCCATTGCTTAGGAGGAGATTTTGTCTAATCAATTCTTGGGGGCAACATTGAGCAAATGAAAACCCTAGGAGAATATTCTTGAATAGTGGGAGGGAAAATTTTGGGGTACAACACCAAGCAACATTACTATAAAACAAGTACGGCTGAAGAAATCCATATTCCTGAAGTTATGAGCAAGCTAGAACATCAAGGACTAACGTACTTTCTCCAGTTAACGTAACCATATAGTAAAGATTTGGTTTGTATAGGGTTACAGAAGAATAACAATGTTGAATTTGACTTTGATATTGGTGGTAAGCGTTACACCTTCACAAATGATATGTGAGGATCTCTTTTTGGTTTCACACTAGGAAACGAACCAAAAGTTAGGGATTCAAGTGTTCATTCTCAATTCAAGTGGAAAATGCATTCTAATGAAGAGTTGAGAACTCTACATGACGACAACAACAATGAGGCAATCACTACGGGCTGCCTTAAGAGATTACCCTGAATACTACACTTGATTATCACTCACATTTTGCGTCCCAAAGGTGGAGGTTTTTCAAGGGTTGATAATGTTGAGATGCATCTTTTGTATCTTTTTCTCAATAAGATAAAGATAAATTGGTCGTATTACTTTTTTGTTCACATGTTCACCATTAATAAGTGTAACAAAGGGGCTTCTTTTAGCTACCCATCTATGATAGCTAAAATTATTAATTTCTTTAACATTGGCTTTCCAAACCTTCCTTTGATCTACCCAAGTGCTGGATTGTAATTCTCTAAGAGAACCATGCATAATATGAGATACCATTGGGATCCTGAAAGAGAGCAATACTATTTTGAGGTGGTTAAGACAAAGCAGAAAATTTACAATTATGATGATCTTGATGAATATTATGATGTTGCTGATGATGAAGGAAATAATGGTGGTCATGGGGATATTAGTGGCGATCCACATGGAGACATTCCCATGGCCGATGTAAATCATGAGGAAGATGAAATTTGGATGAGTGCAATTGTTGCTCACTAACATGACTTTGAGCAACCTTGGACTGATAATTAGTAACAAAATTCTTGGACAGCCCAAGGAGGAAACTATGGAGGCTATGTTGGAAGCTCTTATGATTATGCTGATGATTCATATCAAGATGGGTATGGATATGTTACAGGAAACAACTATGAGATTTTATCTTTGCTTCAGAACATGCAGCTTCAACAAAATGGCGTGAAGCAGGATTGCAATGGCGCACTAATTTTTAGAACGCTCAAAATGAGCAATTTAGGCAAGTTAATGCACGATTGGATGCTCAAGATACAAACTTTGAGGCATTTGCCTCGACCGCTACTGCACAACTTCTATCTCTCAATGAAGGGATTCACACCTCAAATGGATTTTTCCAAGGAAAAATCAACCATCTCCAGACAATTGGTGTCCAACAAAGTGATGAGGCAGTTGCATTCTATGAGGATATGCGTAGAAGTGGAAGAACATATCAAAGGAATCATGATGGAAATGATGGAAGTTGACGTGCTGCATTTCATTTAGTTGTTATTATTTTTCTTTTCCATGCATTACATTTTAGGAATAATTTGTTGTTTGGTTTCATGTACTTTCACCTCTGTTTCTTGTGTGTTTGAACAATGTGTGCAGCTTTGCTTGCTCTATGTTATGAATTTGTTTCTATGTATTTTATTATATAAGTAGTGTTATAACATATATCACGATGTATGTATGTTTACACTCTCACTATGCAAAAGTGCATATGAAATAATGTATTGATTTGTTGGGAACTGAAGGGTAAAATACTTCTAATTATGTTCTTTGTCTCTTTTTGATGTTGTCAAAGGGGGATAAGATACATGCGATAATAAAGAATGAAAGCACACATTCAGAGGGAGCATCATTGAAGCGCATTGTCGCATTTTTGCCATCCTAAAAAAGGGAGAGTTTGTGAGTGAAACTTGGTCCCTTAAGTGTTTGATTGATGTCAAAAATACGAGAGTCTAGCATTTCTTTGGTTGGACATTATCTCTGAGCTTAGTGTGGTACCCTGATCATTTAGAAGTCATAGATTGTTTGAGAATCATTAAAAGTCACTTTAAAATTGAGTCAAGTCATTAAAAATTTGTATTTGCTCAAATTTTGTTTGCATGTGTAGACACATCCGCTTTTCAGGTTAACACATGCAACTCATTTTTAAAGCCTGTAGCTTATGTAAGTCTCAGGTCGACACATACATTACATAGGTCAACACATATTGAAGCATTTCTGAAATTGCAGAAATTCTTATTTTATGTGTCGACACATCCTTCTTTTAGGTCGACACATTTGCTATCATTTTAAATCCTGTAGCCTCTGTCTTGGTTAGGTCGACACATAGTCATGCACGGGTCGACATATACAACTTAAAAATAAAGTATGTGTCGACACATACGATACATAGGTTGGCTCATACTGACAGTTTGATCAATTTTTTTATTATTTTAATTTCCAAACATATCCTTTTTGCCATAATAATTTCAAAACTATAAATACTCTTTCACGCATCATTCATAAATTGGTGAAACCATAAAATTAGCCCACTTCTTTCTTCATCTTCAACCTCCAACCTATGCATACACATTGATATTATATTGTAACAATGTTTCGTTGAGGTGTCGTCTAGAGGAGGATTGTTAGTGTCAAATTGTGTATTGGGTTGGACTTTGTAGGGGTTTTCATCCAGAAAAAACCACGGGTCTGTCCTCCAAGATCATTGATTGATTTGGGGGTTTTCGTGCAAGACGTTCGAGAGGTAATTGCGGCCAACTGAAGTCCTTTGAGATAAAGAACGCAGGGGATCTTTGGAGATAAAGAACACAAAGGAAGTAGCGCGAGAGCAGCGGATTACAATTGAAGTCTTGTGTTGCAATAGTTGAAATTGATGGTGCGCAGAAGTTTTGGATGTAAGGAACACAAAGGAGTAGCAAGATCCAGATAGTCAATTTACATCTATTGTGTCTAGGGTTCAATCAACAACAAGTTTAGAGTTTGTGGAGTTGCTCATAAACACTTTTCTTGTATCAACAATTTTGCATAGTAAGAATTATTCTAATTTCATTGGAATTAGGCGCAGACGTACCCACACGCGAGGACGACAGTGGGGAATTGTAAAGACAAATTCTTTGTGGCTCTTTTATTTTTGCTTTTACTTGCTTTGATTTTCATAGATCAATTTGTCAAATAGTGTTGCGTTATCAATTGAATTGTAAGAATTTTCTGAACTATTTGTGTTTGTAAATCAAGTGTTGATATAGCTTATAATCACTTTTGATTATAAGTGATTTTGTGTATCAACACAATCAAAGGAAATTTTTTGAAAATTCACTTGCACACCAAGTGTTTTATAAATTGATTCAACTAATTTTTTTAAATATTGCTATTGAAAATAGCTTTACTAGTAACTTGTGATAAACGTTAAATAAGCTATTAAGTGATTCAAGTACATTAATTCAATTTGTTGTTCTCGATCCATATTAATTTAAACTTTTTCAAAATTAGATTTTTATATAAATTTTTAGTATTTATTCACCCCCTTTAGATACATTGTCATCGTCTAACACACTTAAAGATCAAAGACTCATCCAAACAAGTGAGAGAGACATTATATACTTACCAAAAATCTTAAGGTGATAAATATATAAATTCTTAAACTTATAATCGGATGACCCAAAGTCACGTCCACCCAATTCTTTCTTGGCCCTTTGGTTGTTTCTCTACAAGCCTCCGCTTCTTTCTATGCCCAATAAAATTATTCAAGTCCATAATCTTTGATATATAAAAAAATGATGTATTTGTTTGAAATAATATAGTTGGATTCGTTGCTATTTTATGAATATGAACAATTTATAATTTTAATTTTAAAAACTCAATTTATTAATTAAGCTAAGTTCTTCAAATTTATCAAACTTATGAGTTAAATATTCAAACTCAACCTAAAAAATGGAGGAGAAAAATTACGAATCTGGTTTTATAACTTTCGGTCTTCACTTGAAATTGGATTTTTTTGTCTCAGACACTTATAATCCTCCTTAAAATAAAAACGGATTGAATCTAAGAAATGGATAAATGGATTGAAGTTGAATGTATTTAGAAAATAGGCAAAGCTACTTGAAGTTGAATGAACGGAATTCCAATATATATATATATATATATATATATATATATATATATATATATATATATATATATATATATATATATATATATATATATATATATATATATATATATATATATATATATATATATATAATATTTAACAGTGATTAGAAAGAGACAATGTAATTTTATAATAATATATTTATAATATTTTAAATATTATATAATTTTGAAGTTATCACCTTATCTGCAATTGACAAATGACAATGTACTAAATAATTTTGTTTAAAATAGAGACAGAGAATCAGCCATGGACTATGAGATTATTGAAAGAGTAAGCCGTTGCCATATTCTATTATTGAGAGTTTCAAACAAGCGATACAGCCACAATGGATCTTTTTCTGTGTAATGTGCAACTATAATTGGAGTCTGAATGTTCAAATATCAGTATAGATTTCTCCTGGTTTCTTTCACAAAAACCAGAAATTAGTGAAATCAGAACAAATCTAAAGATAACATTCGTCGTGTGGTGCATTGTATTAAGTTCAGAAATAAATTGGAAAAATTGATAAAAGATTTAAAATAGAGAGACAGATATGAATTTTTGGTGGATTAAAAGGAATGTGTATATGAGTTAAGAGTGTTGAGCATCAATAGTTCAGAAAAGCAGCTACACCAATAGACCTTAGCACATTAAAAAGAAGTATACCTATCCATCACTCATCAAGATGATTCTCACATATTACCTACATTGTAAACATACAAAATCAGTTCGAAAATTTCCATAGCCCGACTAACCTCAATTTACCCTCGTCTGACTATGCACAAAGCACTCTGATCTTCTCCTTTTTTTCACAGAAAACACATACTCCTCGGCTTGATCACACGCTACTTTAAACAATTCCCACTTTTGCTTAAAGCTCTGAAGGGCTGTTTCTGTTGCTGGGTTTTTAGGGGCACTGGAAGTTTCTTTGGCTTCAAGAAAAGTTGCTGCTGCAGCAACAAAATCTTCATAGGCATTACTTAGAGAATCAACCATATTGTCCATTGAGCGTTAAGATTCTTGTAAGGTAGATAGATACCTATGAAGCATAAACAAAGACATTAAAACACCCCATAGATACTCTTTGACGCCGGTAATAAATTGAAAAAATGTTAATAATTAAATGTAATTATACGTTTCAGACACGGAACTGAACAGATTTTCAATATGTATATTTTTTGCTACTTAGATAGCTATGAAAAGCAAATAAATCCTGTGAAATTAAAGCTGAAGATCACTAAAAACTATCACCCTATGATAAATTCCACCAGATTACAAAGAATAACATCTAGTCTTATATTTCAACGTACGGGAGCTCATAAAGAATCAACACAGATAAGATATCAAAAAAATAATAGAGTTTCTGGATACCAAAAGTACCAGGAAGATTATGAACCAGAAGTACTTTTGAAATCCTCTTTCAATTAATCATCTTCTAATCTAACTGTAATAATGTGTGATATGAAAAATCAATATACAATAAAAGAGATGCGTGCAATTAGGGTTGGGAAATGTGTTACCGAACAGAAATGTTACAGCGCCGATCACAGAGAGAGAGAGAGGCACGGCGGCGATCGGAGAGATGCGACGAGCAAGATTGAGAGGAGTTTGGGATTGAACGAACTGAAATTGGTATGGAGCGAGAGCGAAGGAACGAGTTTAGGGTTTTTGAGAGAACGGGTTTGAGACGTCAAATGAACGAGTCTTGGTCATTCATCAGTATGGTTGAGGAAAGAGATGATCAGTGGAAAAAGAGAAAATGGCCCCCCTTTTGGGGAGTATCTGTGGGAATAGAGCGGAAAGAAGGAGCACGTGACTTCATTAGGTTACGTCTAATTAAAATAAAATACTCCCTCGTCCCAAAACATAAGAGAAAAAAAAACATTTTTCATGTTATAAAATATAAGAGAAAAAAATCATTTTTCATCAGGTAAAATTAAAAATAAATTACATTTAATTTACACTCTCTCTCATCTTTTCTATAACCAACAACTAATTAAAATTATTTTTATATGTTCTTATGCACTTTATTTCATTAACTCCACGAGTCAAATGATTATGTTTTTACTTTTCTTAATAAGTGTGTTTTTTGCTTTTTCTCTTATATTTTGGGACGGAGTGAGTAATCTACACCTAGTAATTTGACCAAAAAAATTTAAAATATAATTTATTTTTAAGTGCTGAATTTAACTTACTAGATTATTTGATTAAAAAAATTTAAAAATAATATTACAAATTAAATTAATATGTTTAATAATAAAAATGATTTTATATAATTTTATTAATTAAAATTTAAATAACCAAAAAATTAAAAAGTCAAATTTTCTTAATTTTTTAAATTTATTAATTAAAATTTATAACTAGAAAAAAATGAATAAAGAGATTAGGTAAAAAAGTAAGGAGAGAACTTAAAAATCCAGGGGATGAAGAAACTCAAACAAGAAAGTGAAGCAACCAAGAAAGACAACCAATGTTAATTCGATAGAGATAGTTAGAGCTCTCAAAATAAATCTGGTCTATAAATTCAATAATTTAATATAGATTGGGCCGTAAAATATTTTTAAAAATCAACCATGTTTTTTTCGTCCAGCCCATCAGACCTATGTTTTTTAGGGAAAAAGATTGAGATAAGACATGACTACACAAGTGTGTTTTCAAGTGATAAAGAAAAGTTTAAAAGGGTGAAGATATATTTTCAAGATGGTGTGATCAAGGAAATGATTGTGAGATGAAAGCAAATTCGATAAGTATTGGTGATAATATTAAGTTATTCGGTACTTTTACATGGATATATATATATATATATATATATATATATATATATATATATATATATATATATATATATATATATATATATATATATATATATATATATATATATATATATATATATATATATATATATATATATATATATATATATATATATATATATATATATATATATATATATATATATATATATATATATTATATGATCGTATCTGATCAGAAGGGATCATCAAGGCCCATGAATTTCTAGTTGAGCAGCGGTTGAATGTGAAGTGGGGGGGTACTTGCAAGACACTGTGATGTTAAAGTGAGGTTCAAAGCGAAAGCAAGTAAAGTAGGTGAGGTAGAATGAATGAATGAATGGATGAATGAATGAATAGATGAATGAATGAATGAATGATGGATATCTGACCCTCTCGAGTGAGAGGGTTTATATAGCCCTCAGCGTTGGGCCAAGGTCTTTAGTGTTGGGCCACGATGAGGTCCAATAATGAAGACTGCCCGAGTTTACGGGTGTATGGAGTCCAGCACGTGACCTCTTCTCTGGTCAACTGCCCCAAGAAAGTAGGAAAGTTGGACCCGTTATTCTCGGAGGACAGGATGATGACGTTGTGGACATGTGGGTCATGCTCTTCTAGTAGACACATGTGGAAATGTCCAATGGTCCTCAATTTGTGGTGCATGCTTTTCGACCTCCCGAATGGTGGGGCAAGTGCCTCCCCAATCCAGAACATGAGACCCCTAAGTTATTGTCCTTAGGTGAAAGGGTGATGACTTGATATCAATTCGAGTGTCGGGGAAGTGTTGCCCAAAAGGGGAAACTATCAACTCCCATCGGGGACAACTACATGATTCATGTCGAGGAGGACCCATAGATTTGTGTGTGGTGTGGTCGACCATATCTTGGAGAATCTCATTGGTCGACTTCGTCCTCCGCTCGTATTAATGTGGTGCCCGTTAGGAATCTACATTTGCAGGGAGGTGAGGCGTTTCCTCGGACGCGCGTCTTCGATGTGCCCGTATTAAGGCGTTGTAATGATGTCGAGCGTTTTTCCGCCAATGAGAGTGGAATGGAGCAGGCGCGTGGTTTTGCATGAGACTACTATAGGCAATGTGTCCTCTTGTGAGCCCCACTTGGCAGCTGTTTGGGTGTCATCCTTACATAGGGCTGTCTAAGAGCCCAAGTAATGATGATTTTTCGCCTGCTACCTCGTGAGGTAGGGGCTATCTCTAAAAGGGGAATCCAAAATTTACCTTGATATTTTCAAACTCTCTATCCTCCCATTTCCCTTGCGTTCGTCTCCTTCAACACCATCGTAGACACATTCACGTTCATCTCATCCAAGTGAGTGATTTCATCTTGATCGTATTTTTCTTAGATTTTTTAGATTAAACACTTGAGTTTTGCCATGAACGGATGAACCTCTGGATGAAGATTCATGGATTCTGGAACAAACCTCCATGGATGTTCATCTAGGTTCATAGATGTGGATGAAGATTCATAGGTTTTGGGATGAACTTTCATGAATGTTCATCTGGGTTCATGAATATGGATGAAGGTTCATGGCTCCAGAATTTCATTCTGACTTGCGTCAGGGTCGTCCCCCCATATAGTGGGGAGGATTTGTGAAACTTGCCCGTTCAATGAAATTTCCCTGTGTAGGGTGTCGAGCTCTTTGGCATTCACTGTCGAGGGCTTGGGTCGAGGACCATTCCTCGACACATTCATCGCCATTTCACTTGATTCACGGTGGAAGGGTGAATTTGATGATATGGAATTCACTATTTCCCCCTGTTTTTCAGGTACGATGGCACAACCAATCGAAGAAGACATCGTGCCCGATACCAACGAGGGTGACGCCATGGTCACAGATGATCTATTGGCTTGGGTCGCGCCCGAGCCCCTGAGTAAAAGGTCATGTTTTTCGAAGGACGCTTCTGATGCATTCAATGTCCCTAAGGACTGAGCAGAGGGTGCCCCTGCCAACTGGGTGCTTCAAATCCCTCATCGAATTCGAAGGATATGCTCGTCATTCCCGGGAAAACGCTTCCCTATGTATGAGTTCGCCTTTAAAGAAGTGGGGATGCGTTTTCCCTTCAATTATTTCCAAGTGGGGGTCTTCCAATGGTTACAACTGGCACCCTCCCAGCTTCATCCAAATGCGCTCGCGTTTATGCGGGCGTTCGAGCTAGTATGCCAATATCTCAAGATTGGTGCCACTTTGACCCCTTATTTCGTATCTTTCACCTACAACGGCATGCCATTGGAGGGTGATAAGCCTGGGTGTCGTTCAAACAGTTCGAAAAACTCTTCCGGTCATACCTTAAATCTGTGCGCAACTTCAAAGAGAGGTATTTCATCGTGAAGCCTCTTACTAATATAGTCGTGGATTCTTTGTACAACTGCTTGCAAGATATAGAGGATGGTCGGATAATGGTTTGACTGATGGTGAAGTTTCCTCTTGAGTGACAATAGAAACATTTTGAGCGGAAGCCCGAGTATTATGCGGTGAAGCTCGAGGACTTAGATGCTCAGGATAAGCTCTCTTACAACAAGCTAGCGGCTTATGTTAATAGCTTCTCCCCAGTAAAGTGTGTGGATATAGATAATAACTTCCTCTTTAACGATAAAGAGGAACATCTCTTTATTCCCCGAGTGATTAACACGAAAGCGCTCCTTGAGTGCTACTCCGATGAGGAGGCTTTGAGACTTCTAGGTAGGGGACGTGCTTGTAATTTCATGTTCTTACTTTTATCTCGTGGACTAACAACTTCTTTTGATTGTAGGCTGGATGGCGACTCACTTCGAACGTTTGCTGAAGTTAAGGTCCAATAATCTATCACACTTGGCGCTCAAAACTCGGGTTTCCCAACTTCAGGAACAAGCCAAAACTTCTGCCCATTCAAGCGGTTCATCTTCCCCTCCGGGGGCCCAGGCTCCCCCTCCCAAACAACTGGCGAAAAGGAAGCGTGTGGAAGACCTCGAGCATGTGGCAGATGTCAACAAGGACAAGGGTGTCGGGGCAGTTTTCCTGTAGTTTCATGTTCTTACTTTTGTCTCGTGGACTAACAACTTCTTTTGACTGCAGGCCAGATGGAGACTCACTTCGAACGTTTGCTGAAGTTAAGGTCCAATAATCTACCACACTTGGCGCCCAATACTCGAGTTGCCCAACTTCAGGAACAAGCCAAAACTTCTGGC